ACCCACAGGTAGCAGCACTGCTACTCACGCGATGCATTTCGCGACGAGTTGCATACCTCACCGAGACGACACCACTCCATCTCCTCCCCCGTGATAGATGGAGCCAGTGGGGCAGGGATCTGCTCGCCACGCTCCTCACATCGTGCGATATCAGAGTTCCGACTTGTCGAACCGAACAATTACGGGTTTGGGAACAGGCGTCGCTGCCGCCATCGTTAGGAGGACTGGGCATCACGGACCCCCTAGTTGAAGGGATTTACGGTTTCGCAGCCAGCTTTACCCAGGCGGCGCTCTATCTAAGCTGCCTACCGCTGGAAGAGGATAACGCTCTCACTCTGGCACGGAACCATATGCTACTGCCGCGGGTCGACAACACACCGCTACACACATGGCTGACCGAGTGCGAGGAGGCGCTGCCGCTAGATGCGCGGGAGATTCTGGAGAAGGAGCGGCTTGAGCGTTCGGACATTCGGCTCCAACACGTGCTAGGACTCAAGGTCCACGGTAGCAGATACGCAAAGCAGGTGCAGGCAACAAGGCGCATGAAGCCGAATCCGCTTGCAGGTCACACGCAGCGCATGTTTTCACTCACTGGCTACGGCACAGGCGATTGGCTCACAGCGATTCCCGTCGCTCCCACAAGGCGGATAGGGCCAGTGCACTTCGCCAACGCTGTACGCTTCCGGCTTGGCCTACTGTTTTCCACTCCCAAAAACTGTGATTGCACGGAACACACGGCTATCACTGACCCCCGCCTCCCGAACCACCTGCTCCGCTGCGGCACAGGCAAGCATCGCACGAACACGCACAACGAGCTGCGAGACGCCTGCGTTAGCATGGCGCAGGACGCAGGGTTTATCGTACACAGGGAGTCAGCGGCCTACTGCCCTATCGAGGAGCAAACCGCCGACTTCACCATGACCGATAGAAGCAGTGGGGCGGTTTACATATGCGACGTTACCGTCACTGACCCTATCAGCACTAGGGACCCGGAAGCACAGAAGGGCAGGGGATGGGCGGCACGGGAACAGGCCGACAAGAAAATCAAGCATTACGCCAACCGCCCCGAGACGGTTGGCTTCTTCCCCCTAGCGGTCGACACCTACGGCTGTCCTTGCGCTGAGGTACCTGTCTTCCTCAAGCTCCTAGCAGACACAGCGGCTCGGCGCCACTTCAATGCCGACTCAAAATCCTACTACGCCGCCAAGTTTCTGCACCAATTCACGCAACGGTGGTCGGTGGCCTTACAGAGAGCGCAATCCGTGGGACTCCTCCTAAAGTTAGGCGAGGCAGCGGCGGCAGAAAACCCACCTGTGGGAGGCATAGGGGAGGAGCTGCACCTTGGGGATTTCTTCGCGGTAGTTGAGCCATTTCTGGAGCTCTAGAATGGGCGGTGGCGTGGTAGTTGTGGGACTGACCGGTCTTGTCAGTTTGTTTGGGTAGCTAGATCTCGCATTCCATATATTGAATGTGTGTACCTTCCAACACTATCAATATACGGACCATTAGAGAGAGAGAGAGAGAGAGAGAGAGAGAGAGAGAGAGAGAGAGAGAGAGAGAGGCCTAGTCCATAGCCCCTCCAGCCCTCTCCAGCCTAGTATAAAGGCCCTAGGACCTTGTCCTAGAGCCTCATTATTCATTTCTGTGTTCATTCGCTCTCTTAACCGAGCAGCAGAGAGAGAGAGAGAGAGAGAGAGAGAGAGAGAGAATGGCGTAGGGGCGGGGCCGTCAGGAACGACATTTGAACACCTCCGCGATGCATCGATAACCAATGCAACGGTCTGCTCCCACCTTCACGCCTTGGTCAACACATTGCTGGCTGGAAATCTACCCGGACCAGTGGCGGACCTTCTGACTGCTTCACGCCTCATAGCCCTTTCCAAACCTGGGGGTGGCGCCCGACCAATCGCAATTGGCAAATGTCTGACTCGCCTCGCGGCAAAAGCGGCATAGACTGTCATGGGGGAGTCTGCACGTGACCACTTTTTGCCACTACAGTACGGGGTGGCAGTGCCAGGTGGCGCCGAAGCAATCATTCACGCCGCTCGTTCCTTCACTGACTCGCGACCCCAATGCTTGGTACTACAGACCGACATTGCGAATGCTTTCAACAGCATTTCGCGACAGGCAATTATCGACGCGATCCAGGACAACAACCTCTCGCCCCTACTCCCATTGGTCAAACTCACTTACGGTAACCCGTCGCACCTGCTCCTGGACGCAAACTTCCACAGCCCCCCACTGAGTAGCGAACGAGGTGTCCGACAGGGCGACCCGCTTGGCCCGCTTCTTTTTGCAGCCGGAATACACCCTGCACTACGCGAGACCACCGCTGCACACCCGGAAGTTATCTGCTTGGCGTACGCAGACGGCGTGACGTTCATGGGGGAACAGGAGAACACTGTCGCCGCCTTCACTTTTTTCACCAACAAACTGGCGCACCTGGGCCTGGCCCACAACCCGGAGAAATGCGCAGCTTGGAGCTCGGCCACAGTCATGACTGGGGGGAACCTGCTGGGGGGAAATTTGCCAGGCCCAATCGCGAACCTCCTGACGGCGTCGAGGCTGATAGCCCTGGCCAAACCTGGGGGAGGGGCCTGGCCAATAGCGATAGGCGAATGTTTGACAAGGCTGACAGCCAAGGCAGCCTTGACAGCCATAGGGGAAGCTGCCCGAGAATATTTCCTGCCACTTCAGTACGGCGTGGCAGTTCCAGGTGGAGCAGAGACGGTAATCCACACAGCCAGAGCTTTTCTGGATGCCCGCCCCAACTGCCTGGTCCTGCAAGCGGATATTTCAAACGCTTTCAACAGTATCTCGCGACATGCCATAGCCACAGCGTTACGCGACCCCGAACTCTCGCCACTGCAGCCGTTCGTGAAACTGACCTACGTTAACCCGTCGCAACTGCTCCTGGACACGAAATTCAACTCCGAACCCTTGCTCAGTGAACGGGGCGTGCGGCAGGGGGACCCACTCGGCCCGCTACTGTTTGCAGCAGGGATACACCCCACGCTCCGCGACACTGCAAAAGCACACCCCGACGTGCTTTGCTTGGCATATGCGGATGACGTCACCTTCCTGGGTGACCCATCCCGCACGTTGGGACTGACACCGGAGCAGCCGGGTTTCTTTCGGGCCAGCTAGAAGGGATGGCTAAGCCATTACCGCTGATTGAGCGAGCTGACCCCCAGGTGGCAGCACTACTCCTCACGCGATGTATTTCCAGGCGTGTAGCTTACCTCATTAGGACGACTCCCCTCCACCTACTCCCTCGCACCACCTGGAGCCAGTGGGGAAGGGACCTACTCATAACCTTACTCACCTCATGCGACATCCGCGCGCCAACGTGTGGCGCCGAGCAAAAGCGTGTCTGGGAACAAGCGTCATTGCCGACGTCACTTGGCGGCATAGGCATAACGGACCCGCTCGTAGAAGGGATCTACGGTTTCACAGCGAGCTTCACCCAAGCGGCCCTTTTTCTTTCCTCCCTCGTGCTAGAACCAGACAGTGCGCTGACGCTGGCCAAGAACCACATGGTGGCGCCCCGGGATGACAGCACCCCCCTACATTCGTGGCTCACGGAGTGTGAAGCAGCCCTGCCCCTCGACGCGCGGGAGATCCTGGAGAAGGAGCGGTTAGAGCGATCGGACGTTAGGCTCCAACACGGGCTCGGCTTGAAGGTGCACGGGAGCAGATACGCTGCGCAGGTCCAGGCAACTAGGAAAATGCAACCAAACCCTCTCTCGGGCCACACGCAGCGGATGTTCTCGCTGACTGGGTATGGCACCAGGGACTGGCTGACGGCGATTCCAATCGAGGCCACCAGACGAATCGGCCCTGTGCACTTCGCAAACGCCGTCCGGTTTCGGCTGGGCCTCCCCTTTTCCACGCCTAAGAACTGTGACTCCGCAGAACGGACAGCCATCACAGATCCTCGCCTCCCGAACCACCTCCTCCGCTGCGGCACGGGCAAGCATCGCATTAATACCCACAATGAGCTGCGGGATGCTTGCATTAGCATGGCGCAGCACGCAGGCTTCATCGTTCACAGCGAGTCGGCTGTTTTCTGCCCCATCGAGGAACAAACCGCAGATTTCACCATGACGGATAGAAGCAGTGGGGCAGTTTACGTGTGTGACGTCACCGTCACTGACCCTATCAGCACGAGGGACCGGGAGGCAGAGAAAGGCAGGGGCTGGGCGGCTCGGGAACAGGCTGATAAGAAAATCAAGCACTATGCCAACCGGCCAGAGACAGTGGGTTTTTTCCCACTAGCGGTAGACACCTACGGCTGTCCATGCGCGGAAGTCCCTGTCTTCCTAAAACTACTCGCAGATACTGCGGCTCGGTGGCATTTCAACGCCGACTCAAAATCCTTTTACGCCGCCAAGTTTCTGCACCTTTTTCGGCAGCGCTGGTCAGTGGCCCTTCAGAGGGCCCAATCGGTTGGTCTACTTCTCAAGTTGGGCGAGGCGGCAGCAGCAGAGAACCCGCCCGTAGGTGGCACTGGTCAGGAGCTTCACCCCGGGGACTGTTTCGCGGTGGTTGAGCCCTACATAGAGCTCTAGAGAAGGAAATGGGTAGGAAGTGTTGTGTTGTGGTTTCTGCTTTGTTCTAGAATCTCAACACCTGCATGCTTGTACTTTGCTACTCTATCAATACAAGGACCATTAGAGAGAGAGACAGAGAGAGAGAGAGAGAGAGAGAGAGAGAGAGAGAGAGAGAGAGAGAGAGAGAGAGAGAGAGAGGCCTAGTCCATAGCCTCTCCAGCCCTCTCCAGCCTAGTATAAAGGCCTTAGGACCTTGTCCTAGAGCCTCATTATTCATTTTTGTGTTCATTCGCTCTCCTAACCGAGCGCCTCGCGCCAGCCGCCTTCGGCCGCACATGAGGGAACAGCAAGCACATCGCAGGCAGATGCAATAATAACGCACAGGCGTACAGTCATGGCAGGGGGTCCCATCTACTAGCAACAACATGGGACAAGCACGAGGGGATCCTACATCTGATCCGCGTCAAGGAAGGCGAGAAGACCCGTCAGAGAACGATGAAGCTCGCGCACCACCACTGTCCTTGCGCCGATCAAGTCGCCGGCAGAGTCCGCGCGCAAAAACCAGCGCAAACCACGGACCGCCGTCCCCAGCTGTCCAACGCCCGCAACTCCACCCTGCGCGGGCGCAGCCAACACGGGCGCCAGGAGCTCGGCCAGCCGATCCGCGGCATCCAGGCACTCGTCCCGGGGGCCAGGGTCCAGATGAACACCCTGGGAGAGAGCCGCGTGACCATATACCTGAATCAGGTGCACTGCCCGCAGACCCTCAGAGAGGCGCCATAGCTGCCCCAGCGACGCCTCCGGCACCACGACTGACGGAGTGGGCCCCACCAGTGACTGTACTGGCACCGATGCGGCCGGAGGAGCAGGAGCAACAGGCAGTAGGGAGGGATACTGCCCCGTCACTGGTCCCCCAGCCGCGGTCACAAACTCCATACCCGCCACAGGAGGAACCCACGGCAGGCGCATCCGGTTCCCATGAGCAGCGGCAGATGCAGAGGGAGCTGGGGGAGGGGGAACGGCTGACTGTGGAAGGGGAGGTGCAGGCTCATAGGGCGCAGACGGAGGACGGGACGCATGCCCCGGAGCGACGCGCGGCGAGTTGCTCTGGCTCGCCTGCCCGTTTCGCTCCAGTCGCATCGCATCAGAAACAACACGCTGTAAATCAGCCATCGTTACTGGCTGATCATACGCCCAGCCGCCACCACGACCGCGCCCCCCCCACCAGCCACCGCGACCGCCACGGGATGCAGCCCAGTTTGCCTGGGACCCTCGGCGCCGAGGAGAATCGTGTCGCCGCCGCGTCGTCTCTCGCTCGTCCCGGGCCGCAGGAGAGTGAGGCCGATGCTGCCGGCGGCTCGGAGACGGCTGACGCTGAGCCAGCAGTGAGCGGCGCAGGATCAGGAACCGCCTGGACGTCCGGGGGCGGCACCGATGTCGCCGCAGTCGGTAGGACGGGAGCCGACAGCGGAACGCCCCCCCCCACCTCCCCCGGCCCCGGGCCGCCAGTGGTGGCGGACACCGCGTGCGGTGACGAACCAACAGCAGCAACCGGGGCAGGCAGGGCGACAGAGACATGCGGCGCATCGAGGATCAGGGCGCCCGGGGGGGCATCAACAACGACAACGGGAACTGGAGACTCAACGGGAGCAACAAGAGCAACACGGACAACGGGAGCAGGCCCCGCAGGAGCGTGCGCGTGAGGAGCAGCCGCAGCGGGAGGATGAGGCCCTGCGGCAGGTGGAGCCGGCGCTGGCGGATTCAGGGGCTCCAGCACGGAGGGAGGCGTTTTCAGTGCAGACGGCAATGGCGGCTTCTTCGAGACAGTCACCGAGCCAGACACTGCCGGCGACCTACCGGAACCCGCAGACGCAACGACAACACGCTCTGGCTCAAGCCAGCCTTCGATCACCATTGCGGAGTGGACGGGGTAGAGGCTGCGGGGGAGGAGCAGCGAGTCGTGTGGGGGGCGGACCAGAGAATGCTTTCCAGGTGGCGGGACGACAGGCTTTAAGAAGGATAATCGAAGATATCGACCAGGAGGAGCGCAGCGACCCCTCTCATAGGGAGGAGGCAGATGTCCTTGGTAGTACCAGTGAAGAGGAAGATGGAACTCGGGAAAGGGAAGAGGCAGCGAGCAGAAGTCGAACGGAACAGCGGAGAGCAGAGGAATCGCATCGAGCTGAGGGTGAGCCGCACGATGGCGATCGTACGGCCAGAAATCCAATTCCATCTCCAGCCCCCTCACCGAGCCGCAGCCGCACAAATCGGACCGCGAGATGCCAGACCGGCGTGGCGCCCGTGGTCCCACATCAGTGCTACTACTCGCCAGAGGAGCTGGCGACACACAGCGACCGGTTCGCATCACTTGCAAACTGGGATATTGCCCCGCTCTGCGATAGTCGCCAACCCTCGCTAGCCCGCAGATTGCCGCCAAACTTGTGTCAGCTTTTTTCGCTATGCCTGCTGACACCACTCCTACACCTATCACGTAACTCGGGCTCCATCGCAGGCTGGCGCCTGCTCCTTTTTCTCCTGCGTCTCACTCTTCGTCAGACTTCGCCAAAACGCCCAGATTGGCCGAAAATCAAAGCGCGACTCCGGTCGTTCCAACGTGGCGAATGGGACCAGCTGTAGACTGAAGCAACCAAAGCAGTCAATAACCCAGCACCGCCACGACACCAACCCGATGACACTGGTGTCATGAGCAGAGCAGAGGGACTGGCGAAGCGCGGGAGTCTACGCAGAGCGGTGTTGGCACTGGAGTCAACCTCGGTCTGCACGCCCAGTCCCGGGATTTTGGATGAACTTCGACAGAAACACCCACAAGCGGGACCCGAGCCGCTGACGTGGCCCCAACACGAGGACCCCCGACGCCTCTCAATCCCATACGTTGACTTCCACAAGCTGCTGAGCCGATGCAAGGACGGGGTGGGTGCAGGGCCATCTGGCACCACGTTTGAGCACCTGCGCGATGCGGCAATAACAAACGCATCGGTTTGCACCCACCTTCACGCCTTGGTTAACACCATGCTGGGGGGTAAATTGCCCCAGCCTGTAGCAGACCTGCTCACGTCATCCCGCCTAATTGCGTTGGCCAAGCCAGAAGGCGGGGCCCGGCCAATTGCAATAGGCGAATGTTTGACCCGCCTGGCAGCAAAGGCCGCCTTGTCATTAATAGGAGAAGCAGCGCGGGAGTTTTTCCTCCCGCTGCAATTCGGGGTGGCGGTTCCAAGTGGAGCAGAGGCAATCATCCACACCGTACGAGATTTCACCGACACCCGACCTGACACACTGATACTTCAAACCGACCTATCAAACACTTTCAACAGTATCTCGCGACAGGCAATAGTGGCAGCTTTACAGGACGATGCTTTACAAACATTACTGCCGCTGGTCCAACTCACATACGGCAACCCGTCGCGACTCTACCTCGATGCCGGCTTTAACAGCGCACCCTTAGCAAGCGAACGAGGCGTCCGCCAGGGAGACCCCTTAGGCCCTCTGCTTTTCGCGGCAAGAATACACCCAGCCTTACGTGCGACTGCCGATGCCTACCCCCGCGTACTCTGCCTAGCCTATGCCGACGATGTCACGTTCCTAGGTGCCGCCGCCGAGACAACCGAAGCCTTCGCCCATTTTACCGGACAACTAGAGCTAGTAGGCCTTCAACATAATCCCGGAAAGTGTGCCGCATGGAGTAGAACCCGCCCAGCCAGCTCGGTGCAACTACCACTAGGAGTTCCCTTTTCCGGTGATGGCGTTCGGCTCTTAGGCAGCTTCATAGGAACGACGGAAGTTGCTGCCTCTTTCATTACGGAACAACTCACGGCAATGGCGAAACCACTCCCACTGCTAGAACGGATGGACCCACAGACCTCCTCGCTGATCCTCACGCGCTGCATATCTCGCCGCATCGCCTACCTTACACGGACCACACCGCTCAATTTTCTCCCCGATGGCAAATGGTCGCAGTGGGGACGGGACCTACTTGCCACCCTTTTAGCCTCATGCGGTATCCGCTATCCAACAAGTACTACTGAGCAAAACCGGGTCTAGGAACAGTCCACACTACCCCCCTCCCTAGGTGGGATCGGCCTCACTGACCCCACAGTCGAAGGAGTATATGGCTTCCTAGCAAGCTTCACACAGGCAGCCCTACTCCTCTGCTCGCTCCCCTTAGAACAGGACGACATCCAGACACACGCCAAGAATTTCATGCTACTACCACGAAACACTAGCACACCCCTTCATGCGTGGCTGTCGGCCTGTGAGAGGGCTCTGCCGGCAGACGCCCGTGAGATCCTAGAAGCGGAGAGATTAGAACCTAAGGGCGTGAAGCTGCAACACGCCCTCGCAGTGAAGGTCCACGGGAGGAGATATGCGAGGCAAGTACAGGAGACCCGGCGGATGAGTCTCAACCCGCTATCAGGGCACACTCAGCGCATGTTCTCCCTTACCGGCTATGGCACGGGAGACTGGCTGACGGCTTTACCGATTGGAAACACCCGCCGCGTCGCGCCAGAGCACTTCGCCAATGCCGTCCGCTTTCGCCTTGGCCTACCTTTCTCCACGCCCGCCAAGTGTGACTGCTCGGACCACACAGAGATCACCAACCCATGGCTGCCAAACCATCTTTTCCGCTGCGGCATGGGCAAGCACAGGATTAACACCCATAACGAGCTCCGGGACGCTTGCATCACCATGGCACAAGATGCGGGTTTAATCGTCCATGGGGAATTGGCCGCCTACTGCCCAATCGAGGACCAGACCGCGGATATCACTATGCGAGACAGGAGCTCAGGGGCGGTGTACATCTGTGACGTCACCGTCACCGACCCCATCAGCACCAGAGACCCGAATGCAACCAAAGGAAGAGGTGTCAGAGGTCCACTGGTGATCCCCGATTGATCCTAGGGAAGGGTTACAGGCTCGTTGTCCTGGGGGGTTATGGGCGCACTGACCCGCCACTTAACAAGCCCTTTTATCCCAATGGTCTAGTGGTTGGGATTCTGACATGGTATCAGAGCGAAGGTCTCGGGTTCGAATCCCAGTGTGTGCACTTCGGGCATCCCAGTGCGGGGGGGTGTCAGAGGTCCACTGGTGATCCCCAATTGATCCTAGGGAAGGGTTACAGGCTCGTTGTCATGGGGGGTTATGGGCGCACTGACCCGCCACTTAACAAGCCCTTTTATCCCAATGGTCTAGTGGTTGGGATTCTGACAAGAGGATGGGCGGCAAGAGAGATGGCAGACAAGAAGAAGAGACACTATGCCAACCGGCCGGACACGGTGGCCTTTTTCCCACTGGCTGTGGATACCTATGGGTGCCCATGTGCAGAGGTCCCAGAATTCTTGAAGCTACTGGCGGACACAGCTGCTAGGCGTCACTTCAACGCCCAACCACACTCGTTTCATGCAGCCAGGTTCCTCCATCTCTTCAGGCAACGGTGGTCCGTGGCTCTGCAAAGAGCACAGTCAGTGGGCTACCTTATTAAGTTGAGTCAGGCGGCAGTAGCTGAAAATCCCCCCGTGGGGGGGGTGCAGTCCAAGCTCCACCTTGGGGACTGCTGTGCAGTACTAGAGCCTCTCATGGAGATGTAGATAGGCCGCTGTGGGCAGCTAGACAGCTTCTCTGCTTGTTCGTTAGCATTCCTAGCACCTATACCTTGCATGTCTGTACCTCCTCTTATATCAATGCATGGACCATTAGAGAGAGAGAGAGAGAGAGAGAGAGAGAGAGAGAGAGAGAGAGAGAGAGAGAGAGAGAGCTAGGGAAATGTTGCCAACTGTGCACCATGACTACAGAACAGTAACTTTCGACAGCTGTCACGTGCTGCTCCGATGCTGGATTGTCTTGAAACTCGGTGACCACCTGAACAACACGGCAAATGACTGCCAAATTGATTTTCAGACTAATCAGAGCTTGGTAGATGAGTCAGCAGCCGAAATGGTGAACTCGGGTGTTACCAAAAAAGAGTAACACACACTTCCGGGATGCCATAAGTCTTGAAACTAGAAATGTTGCCATGCTTTGTGTTTGCTTCAAAAATTATGAACCTTTGAGGGTGTGAAGAACAAATGTCGAAGCACCTCCCCACAAAATTCCAGAAGCTGAGCAGGCTTGTAGGCGGAATGGGAGTGCGATGACTGTGCAACTGAGTGGTCATCGCACTCCCATCTTCACCATGCCGACAACCATTCGGTTGTAACCCAACTTCACACGATGGTCAACACCATGTTGACGGGAAGCTGCCACCGCCCGTCGCCAGTCTCCTCAGTGCATCCTGCCTACTGGCACTGTCCAAACCAGATGGCGGAACAAGACCAATAACGATTGGCGAGAGTGTCACCAGGCTAGCAGCAAAAACGGCGCTGATGCGGACAGGAGGGGCCGCAAGAGATTTTTTCCTGCCACACTAGTTTGGTGTGGCAGTACCTGGAGGAGCAGAGGCAGTGATTCATGTGACTCGTGCCTACCTATCAGAACACTCGGGGTCGCTGGTCCCCCAAGCGGACCCGGCTAACGCCTTCAACAGTTTCAACAGAGCAGCAATTTTGTCCGCCTTAGACAATTCCCCTCTAGCCCCACTACTGCCACTGGTACAGCTAACCTATGGGGCGCCTTCCCTGCTATACCTAGACGACAGCTTCAAGCAGGGCCCCTTGCAGAGCGAGACAGGGGTACGGTAGGGAGATCCCCTAGGGCCGCTGCTATTCGCGGCTGCAATCAGCCCCGCGCTACAAGCTACAGCATATGCAGACGATGTCACCTTCCTAGGGGAGAAGTCGACCTGTGTAGCAGCCTTCCAGCATTTCACTGATAGCCTCAGCTCAATTGGCCTGCAGCATAATCCATCCAAATGTGCTGCATGGTCACAGTCAGGCAACCACACCGCCACCCTACCCGAGGGAGTCCCGTTCATCGATGGCGGCGTGAAGCTGCTAGGTAGTTTCATCGGCTCAGACGAGGCCACTGCAGACTTCATCTGCTCGAGCCTCAGATCAATGGTGGCGCCTCTTAGCCTTATAGCTCAGATGGAGCCTCAGCTCGCCTCCCTTCTACTCTCTCGGTGCATCTCAAGACGCGTTTCGTACCTCATCCGGACCACCCCTCTAATGCACCTGACAGTCGATGAATGGTCTGGCTGGGGTAGGCAGCTGTTTGAGACCTTGCTAACGGCCTGTGGAATTAGACATCCACAAGGTGTGGCTGAAATGCCACGTACCTGGTCCCAAGCTTCGCTCCTGGTATCACTTGGGGGCCTCGGAATCACTGACCCTGCGGTAGAAGGCAGCTACAGCTTCCTTGCTAGCTTCACTCTAGCACAGCAGCTGCTTTCATCTCTTGATGACAGTCAAATAGGGCCACTGGCAAAGACGCGGGCGCAGATGATGGGGCCCTACACGAGCACAAGCCCATTCTACAGTTGGCTAGCTAGCTGCAAAGCAGACCTACCGAGTGACGCAGGAGAGTTGCTGCAAGGCGACAGGGCCACTCCCACATGTGTGAAGCTGCAACACGGGTTGGCATTGGCAGTCCAGGGTCAACAGTACTCTGACCAAGTAGAGAGCGTACGTGCCATGACCCCAAAGCTCAACAATGGCCATACCCAGCGCGTCCTTTCCCTATCAGGATATGGGGCTGGTGATTGGCTCCATGCCGTCCCGCTCATGCCATCCCTGACACTAGATGCACCCCACTTTGCAACGGCCCTCCGGTTCAGGCTTGGCCTTCCCTTTTCACCCCCCGGCGCATGTGACTGCGCCAAACAGGTTCTCATACCGGACAAGCGGTTTCCTAACCACCTGCTGCGCTGCGCCACGGGAGGGGGGAGGACTAATACGCACAACAAGCTGAGGGATGAGTGTGTTCGGATGGCCCAATATGCCGGGTTCATGGTGCACAAGGAGACTGCCGAATTCTACCCGGTCACTAGGAAGACAACGGATTTGGCCGTCCGCGACCGGTCTTTAGGGGCGGTATGGATTGGTGATGTGACCATCACTGATCCCATCAGCTCCCGCGACCCAAAGGCAGTCAAAGGGAGGGGGTGGGCCGCTAGGGAAGCAGTTAACAAGAAAATTAAAGACTACAGTGGAATTCGTCCCCCTTGCCGTCGAGACATACGGCTGCCCCTGCGTGGAGGTTCCCAAGTTCCTGAAGCTCCTGGCTCACACGGATGCCCGCCAGCTCTTCAATGCCGACCCCAAAACCTACCAGGCGGCAAAGTTACTAAATCAGTTCCGCCAGAGGTGGTCGGTCGCCCTTCAACTGATTATGTAACTCATTATTCTGCTTGGTGTCTTTATGTAACTCAAAAGCACAGAAATTTGACTACCTACCTGGCTCACACATTATTCTGTTTGTGGCAGAAATTTTCCTTGGTTTGTTCGAGAGAGAGCGAGAGAGAGAGAGAGAGAGAGAGAGAGAGAGAGAGAGAGAGAGAGAGAGAGAGAGAGAGGGTACTAGCCTCTGCCCTCTCCCTTAGCCCTCTGCCCTCTTCCTTTGAGCTATATAAGGGGCCTCTCACGGCCTCTTCTCTTCATTATTCTGTTTGGTGGCAGAAAGTTTCCTCATGCCGGCCACCTTCGGCGGCCGACACTCTACAGTGCGGCCTTCAGCCGCGCGTGAGGGGACGGCAAGGGAGAAAGGGGCAGGCAACTATATTCCAAGACATACATACAATTACATCACCTACACCTGTCCAGGACAACACACGGCAACAACATGGTGCAGGAAGAGGCAGACGCTACATCTGATCCGCGTCAAGGACGGCGAGAAGACCCGTCAAAGAGCGATGAAGCTCGCGTACCACCATTGTGGTTGCGCCGATCAAGTCGACTGCACTCCCTGCGCGCAAAAACCGGCGCAGACCATGGACTGCCGTCCCAAGCTGTCCATCGCCCGCAACTCCACCCCGCGCGGGCACAGCCAGCACGGGCGCCAGGAGCTCGGCCAGCTGATCAGCGGCATCCGGGCACTCTTCCCGAGGGCCACCGTCCAGAGGAACACCCTGGGAGAGAGCCGCGTGACCATACACCTGAATCAGGTGCACAGCCCGCAGACCCTCAGAGAGGCGCCATAGCTGCCCCAGAGACGCCTCCGGCACCACGGCTGAAGGAGATGGCCCCACCAGCGGCTGTACCGGCACCGTTGCAGCCGGAGGAGCAGGAGCCACGGGCAGTAGAGATGGATACTGCGCCGTTACCAGTCCTCCTGCCGCGGTCACGAACTCCATACCCGACACGGGAGGAACCCACGGCAGGCACATACGGTTACCATGAGCAGCAGCAGATGCAGAGGGAGTAGGAGGAGGAGGAACGGCTGACTGAGGAAGAGGAGGTGCAGGCACATAGGGCGCAGCCGGAGGAAGGGACGCATGCGCTGGACCGACACGTGGTGAGTTGCTCTGGCTCGCCTGCTCGTTTCGCTCCTGTCGCATCGCATCAGAAACAACACGCTGTAAATCAGCCATCGTTACTGGCTGATCATATGCACAGCCACCACCACGACCGCGCCCCCCCCACCATCCACCACGACCGCCACGGGATGCAGCCCAGTTCGCCAGGGACCCACGGGGCCGAGGAGAATCGTGTCGCCGCCGCGACGTCTCTCGCTCATCACGTGGCGCAGGGGAGTGAGGCCGATGCTGCCGGCGGCCCGGAGACGGCTGACGCTGAGCAGGGGGAGCAGCAGCGAGCGGCGCAGGATCAGGAACCGCCTGGACGTCCGGGGGCGGCACCGATGTCGCCACAGTCGGTAGGACAGGAGCCGACAGCGCAACGGCCCCCCCCACCTCCCCCGGGCCCGGGCCGCCAGTGGTGGCGGACACCGCGTGCGGTGACGAACCAATGGCAGCAATCGGTGCAGCGTGGGCGACGGAGGCAAGCGGCGCAGTGAGGATAGGAGCGCCCGGAGGGGCATCAACAACGACAAGGGGAGCCGGAGACTCAACGGGAGCAACACGAGCAACGGGAGCAGGCCCAGCAAGAGCGTGCGCGTGAGGAGCAGCCGCAGCGAGAGGTTGAGGCTCTGCGACAGGTAGAGCTGGCTTTGGTGGATTCGGAGCCTCGGGCGCAAAGGGAAGCGGTTTTGGTGCAGACAGCAGTGGCAGCTTCATCGAGCCAGACACTGCCGGCCACCTACCAGATACCGCAGACGCAACGACAACGCGCTCTGGCTCAAGCCAGCCTTCAATCACCATCGCGGAGAGGATGAGGCCGAGGCCGCGGGCAAGAGTAGCTAAGGGCATGGGCGGCGGTCCGGAGAACGCCTTCCAGGTAGCGGGACGGCAGGCTTTAACAACAATAAACGAGGATATCGATCCGGAGGATCGCAGCGACCCTTCTTATAGGGAGGAGCCAAAAGTCCTTTGTAGTAGTAGTGAAGAGGAAGATGGCGATCGGGAAAGGGAAGAAGCTGCGAGCAGAAGTCGAACGGAGCAACGGAGTGCAGAGGAGTCTCATCGAGCTGAGAGTGAGCCGAACGATGGCGATCGTACGGCCGGAAATCCAACCCAATCTCCAACCCCCTCTTTGAGCCGCGGCCGTACAAATCGGACCGCGAGGCGTGAGGCCAGCGTGGCGGCTGTGGTCCCAATTCAGCGCCACTACTCGCCAGAGGAGTTGGCGACACACAATGCCCGGTTTGCATCACTTGTAAACTGGGATATTGCACCGCTCTGCGACAGTCGCCAACCCTTGCTAGCCCGCAGATTGCCGCCAAACCTGTGTCAGCTATTTTCGCTATGCTTGCTGACACCACTCTTGCATCTATCGTGTAACCCGGGCTCTATCGCACGCTGGCGCCTGCTGCCTTTTCTCCCACATCTCACACTTCGCCAGACCTCGCCAAAACGCCCGGATTGGCCGAAAATCAAAGCACGAATCCGTTCGTTCCAGCGTGGCGAATGGGATCAGCTGTACGCTGAAGCAACCAAAGCAGTCAATAACCTAGCCCCGCTACGAAACCAACCCAATGACACAGGTGTCATCAGCGGAGCGGAGGGACTGGCGAAGCGCGGGAGTCTACGCAGAGCGGTGTTGGCACTGGAGTCAACCCCGGTATGCACGCCCAGTCCATTGATCTTGGATGAACTTTGACACAAACACCCACAAGCGGGACCCGAGCCATTGACGTGGCCCCAACACGACGAACTTCAAAGCCTGTCAATTCCATACGTTGACTTCCACAAGTCGCTGAGCCGATGCGAGAACGGGGTGGGTGCGGGGCCGTCTGGCACCACGTTTGGACACCTGCGCGATTCGGCAATTATGAACGCATCGGTCTGCACCCACCTTCACGCCTTGGTTAACACCATGATCAGGGGTAAACTGCCCCAGCCTCTAGCAGACCTGCTCACGTCATCCCGCCTAATTGCGTTGGCCAAGCCCGACGGCGGGGCCCGACCAATTGCAATTGGCGAGTGCTTGACCCGCCTGGCAGCAAAGGCCGCCTTGTCAGTAATGGGAGAAGCAGCACGGGAATTTTTCCTTCCGTTGCAATTTGGGGTGGCATTTCCAAGTGGAGCAGAAGCGATAATCCACACCGTACGGGCCTTCACCGACGCTCGACCTGACACACTGATCCTGCAAACTGATCTATCTAATGCCTTCAACAGTATCTCGCGACAAGCAATCGTGACAGCTTTACAGGACGATGCGTTACAACCACTACTGCCGCTAGTTCAACTCACATACGGCAACCCGTCGCTACTGTACCTGGATGCCAACTTCAACAGTGCACCCTTGGCAAGCGAACGAGGCGTCCGCCAGGGAGACCCTCTAGGCCCGCTGCTTTACGGAGCCGGAATACACCCAGCCCTACATGCGACGGCCGCCGCTTACCCCCACGTACTCGGCCTTGCCTATGCCGACGATGTCATGTTCCTAGGTGCCGCCGCCGAGACAACCGAAGCTTTCGCCCATTTTACCGGACAGCTAGAGCTAGTAGGCCTCCAGCATAATCCCGGGAAGTGTGCCGCATTGAGTAGAACCCGCCTAGATATATATGTGCACCTACCACCAGGGGTTCCGTTATCCGGTGACGGCGTTCGGCAACTAGGCAGTTTCATAGGCACGATGGATGGCGCAGCCTCTTTCATTACGGGACAGCTCACGGCAATGGCGAAACCGCTCCCACTGCTAGAACGAATGGACCCACAGACCTCTTCTCTGCTCCTCATGCGCTGCATATCTTGCCGCGTAGCATACCTTACATGGACCACACCGCTCAACCTTCTCCCTGACAGCAGCTGGTCACAGTGGGGACGGGATCTACTCGCCACCCTTTTAGCCTCATGCGGTATCCGCTATCCAACTAGTGTTACTGAGCAAAACAGGGTTTGGGAACAGTCCACACTACCCCCCTCCCTGGGAGGGATCGGCCTTACTGACCCCACTGGTGAAGGAATCTATGGCTTCCCAGCGAGTTTCACAAAGGCAGCCCTACTCCTCTGCTCTCCCACTTTAGAACCTGACGACATCCAGACATGCGCCAAGAACCTTATGCTACTACCTCGAGACACTACCACACCTCTTCACACGTGGCTGACGGCCTGTGAGAGGGATCTGCTGGTAGATGCCCATGAGATCCTAGAAGCAGAGAGATTGGAGCCTAAGGGCGTGAAGCTGCAGCATGCCCTCGCAGTGAAGGTCCACGGGAGGAGATATGCGAGAGAGGTACAGGAGACTCGGAAGATGAGTCTCAACCCGCTATCAGGGCACACATAGCGCATGTTCTCCCTAACCGCCTATGGCACAGGAGACTGGGTGACTGCTTTACCGATTGAAAACACCCGCCGCGTCGCCCCCGAGCACTTCGCCAATGCTGTCCACTTTCGCCTTGGCCTACCTTTCTCCACGCCCGCTAAGTGTGACTGTTCGGACCATATGGAGATCACCGACCCACGGTTGCCAAACCACCTTTTCCGCTGCGGTACGGGCAAGCACAGGATTAACACCCATAATGAGCTTCGGGACGCCCGCATCACTATGGCACAAGACGCAGGATTTGTTGTCCATGGGGAATCTGCCGCTTACTCCCCAATCAAGGACCAGACTGCGGATATCAATATGTGAGATAAGAGCTCAGGGGCGGTGTACATCTGTGACGTCACCATCACCGACCCCATCAGCACCAGAGACCCGAATGCAACCAAGGGAAGAGGATGGGCGGCAAGGGAGATGGTGGACAAGAAAAAGAGGTACTACGCCAACCGGCCTGACACGGTTGGTTTCTTCCCGCTGGCAGTGGAGACTTATGGGTGTCCATGTGCAGAGGTTCCAGAATTCCTGGAGCTATTGGCAGACACAGCTGCTAGGCGTCATTTTAACGCCCAACCTCACTCATTTCATGTAGCTCGGTTCCTCCACCTCTTCAGGCAGCGGTGGTCTGTCGCTCTTCAGAGGGCCCAGTCAGTAGGATACCTAATCAAATCCAGCCAAGCGGCGGTAGCAGAAAACCCCCCCGTGGGTGGGGTACAATCCGAGCTTCATCTTGGGGATTGTTGTGCTGTGATAGAACCTCTTATGGAGGTATAGAAAGGCAGCTGTGTGTAGTTAGATAGTTGTTTGCCTATTGTTTTCAGTACTAGCATCCATACCTTGCATGTTTGTACCCTTTCATACATCAATGCACGGACCATTAGAGAGAGAAAGAGAGAGAGAGAGAGAGAGAGAGAGAGAGAGAGAGAGAGAGAGAGAGAGAGAGAAAGGGAGAGAGAGAGAGAGAGGGACCCTAAGTTGCCTAAGTTGCTTCTTTAATTTTCCCTAGGACAGTCCTAAGCAACTAAGTTGGTCCTGTGGCCTCTCTCTCTTCATTCTTCAGTTTGTTGGCCAGATTTTTTCGCTCGTTTGAGAGAGAGAGAGAGAGAGAGAGAGAGAGAGAGAGAGAGAGAGAGAGAGAGAGAGAGAGAGAGAGAGAGAGAGAGAAAGAGAGAGAGAGGGACTTAGCCTCTGCCCTCTCCCTTAGCCCTCTGCCCTCTAGTTCCCTAGCTATAAGAGGTCGCTCGTGGCCTCTCTCTCTTCATTCTTCGGTTTGTTGGCCAGAAATTTTCGCTCGCGCCGGCCGCCTTTGGCGCCCGTCGCTCAACAGCGCGGCCTTCGGCCGCGCACTTGGGACGGCAAGAAACACAAAGTGGGGGTTCATATATCACAAGCATACAGGCAATGAAAACGCCAACCACTGCCTAGAGAAAGCATGGAGGAAGCTTCGCCAACCACTACATCCGATCCGCTTGCAGGGCATGGAGAATGCCCTGCAACGTCCACCACACCTCACGGACCACCAGTGTACTTGCACCAATCGCTGCGGCTCCAGAGCCAGCGCGCAAGTACCTCCTCAGACCCTGGACTGCAACGTCAAGTTGCGACACAGCCCCAACCCCTCCCCGCGCGGGCGCTGCTAGCACAGGCGCCAGGAGGAGGGCGAGCTGGTCAGCCGCGTCCAGGCAATCATCACGTGGGCCGTCCTGCAAAGAATCTGCGGGAAGAGGGGGAAGAGACGCTTGAGCCAGCACCTGCACCAACAGAATCGCGCGAGGACTCTCCGACAGCCGCCATAGCTGCCCAAGCGTTGCCTCTCGAATGCGGACGTACGGGGGAAGGAGTTCCCTCCACCAGATATGGGAGCGTCTCATCCACAGCAGAGGGAGCAGGGTGTGCAGCAACAAAGGGAGGATATTGCGCCCTCACCGCCCCTCCTCCTGTGCTCACAAATTCCATTCCCGCCACAGGCAGAACCCGGGGGAGCCGGAGGCGAGCGCTTGCAGCATTCCCAGCAAGGGCAGAGGCCAAGGCAACCGGCGCAACAGGAGGAAGTCAAGCTGCCACTGGGGCAACCACAGGAGGAGCACCACGATGGGGATCCGCGGGCGACGATGCCGCTCGCAGCGAACTGCGCTGACTCGCCGAGCTAGTCCGACCGTCGCGAATCGCCGCGGTCACGATCTGCCGCACGTCCGCGATCGACGTTGGCGCATCATCGTCTCCCCAGCCACCCCCATAACCGTGACCCCCCCTCCTATAAGTATCTGCTATCTCGTCCGGATCATTAACTACCTCCGGATTAGCTACCTCCAGATCTGTTAAAGCCCGGTGCCCGGCCGCTTGGAACCCATTCTCCAGACCACCACGCCCGCCACGAAATGTGGAATCAAGCCGCAATCACGGAAATCAAGCCGCGCGAGGTGACTTGGCAGTGCCAAACCTACCACAAAGTCCCCGCTACTTTTCGCCAGACGACTTGGCAAAG